ATTTTTAAAAGACACTTTACCCTACACATTCGGAAAGTTTCATAAAAATGGCCCAATAACCTGAGTTTTCCCAGCTCACTAAATATCGGTCCCAAAAGGGATGGTTTCAGTCAGCTGCGCTCTCTCCTTTTAAAAATCGCCTCTTCCAAACCAGCGCAGGCAGTAATTTCAAATGTTCACCATCTTTAGAAGAGACTCGGCTATACACAYACACAAGGTTTCATGAAAATCGCCTGGAGTGCTGATTTTTCCAATTTCCTGAAGTTCATATCCATTTGGCGCAAGATTTCGCCTGAAATGAGCATATTTAACTCCACTAGCAGTCAAAGATTCCACGTCTCAGGCTCAATATAAATTACTTCTTTTCTCCTCCAACCTCCTACACCTCCATTTCATGTCGTCCTGTGCTTGTTCCAGAGGTTCATCAGCTTCCGACTCCACCTCCATAGACTCGAGCGATGATGCTTTTGAACAAACTTCCTCAATCCTCATTTGTATAAAGCACACTTTCCTCTACCAACATAATAAATTTGGTTTGTATGCGAATTTTCTAGCAAGTTGAAATATTCGCCATATTTAGAAGACACTTTACCCTACACTCTCAGACAGTTTCTGAAAAATCGTGCGTAACCCCGAGATTTACCAGCTCAATAAATACCGGTCTCAAAATGTAATAGATTAGTCAACTGCGCTTTCACCTTTAAAAATTCGCTTCTTCGACACACGTGCCGATAGTAGCTTGAAATTTTTGTCATAGTTAGAGCACAGTTCAGTCTACACACTCAGAAAGTTTCATGAAAATCGCGTTGAATTCTGAGTTTTACCAGGTCAGTAAATATCGGACTCAAAATGGATGGTTTTACTCGCGAGCGCTCTCTCATTTCAATATTCACCTTTGCCAAACCAACGCAGGTATTACTTCAAAAATTTTACCGCATTTAAAGGACACATTTCCTTACAGGTGCAGAAAGTTTTACAAAAATCTCCCGTAATCGTGAGCTTTTCCAGCTCAGTAAGTAAATACCGGTCTCAAATGAATGTCTTGGTAAAATGCACGCTCTTGTAAAAAAATCGTCTCGTGCTAACTAAAGCAGGTAGCAACTTGAAATGTTCATCATAGTTAGAAGACACTTTATCCCACACATTCAGAGAGTTTTATGAAATATCGCGCGTAATCCTAACTTTTGCCAGCTCAGTAAATATCGGTGCCAAAGTGGATGGTTTTAGTCAACTGCGCTTTCTCCTTTAAAAATTCGCCTCTTCGAAACTAACGTAGGCAGCGACTGGAAATGTTCCCTATTTTTAAAAGACAC